CTCCTTAGGTGCTCGTGCAGAGTTGTTCACACAACATGGGCACGAGTCTCCCCAAGAGAGGCAGGGTAATTCTTTCTCCCTTGACAGACGATGCAGCTTGTAGCGTGCACCTGTCGGGGTTCGCTTTTCAAACTTATCACGAGCTTTGATAAGTTTGTCGTTCCAAGCGTCACGACCTACATCCTCGAGATTATGGATGTAGGCGTTCCACGCCTGAAGTAGTGAGGGACCATCACGTTTGTGATTCCCACTGTACCATCGATGTCTGAAGAAAGCATCGATGAAGAATTCATGTTCAGCGCGATAGTCTTTCGCGCTGGGGTCAAGGTGATGAATCCTTGACGAATCGAACAATCGTGTTCGATAACGATCACTCGTCGTCGCCGACAAGTGATCCATGACAGATTTAGGAGGCATCCATGCCTTCTTTTCTGGAGCGAGACGCAACACATTGCGGTCCCGCTCTATCTGCGACGTGCCGACAGAAGTACTGGCACCTCGCTGTGAAGTGGTGTCCATAGGAGAACCGACACCACTATTAGCGCCCGAGTCTCGCGACCTCGAGCGCCTTCGCTTCGGCGATGGTTCATCTGACTCATCAGATGAACCAAAGATGCTGCGACGCAAAGCATCGTCCATGCCACGCTTGGCAGGCGGCTTGGATTCAATTGCCGTCGATACGGATCCGTCATCCGTATCAGGAGAGTACGAGACACCGAGCTCGTACTCTGTGAAGACACGAGTGTCTTCATGACCAGCGCCTGCATCACCAGGTGATACAGGCTGAGTCGATTCAGCAACCGATGGGATATCAGTTGCTGTAGTTTCTGCTTCGGCGTCCGCACAGAGACGTGCAGACGCGCTCTCGGCGGCCTTGCTCGCGCATCGCATGGGCTTGTTTACCATGCGATGAGATGTTGGAAAGTGGACGCGGACCAACAAGTGCAAACCCCGTCCCAAATGATTTGGGACGAGTATCCATTTAGTCAATCAGTCACTAAAGTGACTGATGGTTAAGGGGGGGGTGATGTAACGGGGTGAATCGTTACATAACAATTTATAAGAAATTGTTAATAGAATATAACTATAAGAGTTATATTCTCAGAATATTGTCATAAGGACAATATTCTGTAGCACTTCCGAGTAGTTCCTAATTGGTTGATATAGGCCATTATATCAACCAACGAAGACGCGCCACGACAGACGCACGCAATGAGTGGTGAGCAGATAACTGATTTACACATTTGTATTTAGTCATAGTTAGATGAAGATAAATAGTGATTTATTGCAGACATTAACTATTATAAATACAGTTCTACTTTTTACTCTAACCGAGTACTCGCTTCTTCTTACCGTCTTCCTCTGCACGTACGAGTGTACGTGAAGTTACGAGGCACCGCCTTATTCTGTTATCAGAATAAGTAGCTTGTACTGTCACCAGTACAAGCTTCAGGGTGCCCCGTTACAGAGAGCTTCTTATCTGAGCTCAGCATGCAACAAAGAGTAGCTCAACGCAATGACGTAGGAGATGAACAAGAGAAGCCATCGAAGCGCAGAAAGACTGAACGTCCATCGCTGGATAGACTCACGTGTGAACAGCAGACATCCATCCCAAGCGACACACGTAACACTGTCGCTACACCGCCACACGTAACACTGTCGCTACACCGCCACGAGACACACCTGTTGATGGTACACCCGCAAGACGTCCTACATACAGGTCGGCGCGTGCTCGCCGCAAGTCGACTTGACAGACGGAGGTCGACGCTGATGTGCAAGCGAATATTGAAAATGTGCCTAGTTCTAGCGCTCTGGCGGCGATTGAGCCATTAAAGTCTAACGCAAAATGTTCATACGGATCCTTATCGGACCCATAGTCTTTTGCTGAATCCCGTAGGAGTCCAGATGCTGACATGTAGATGCAAGCGTAAGCAAAAAAACTTTCCTTGTTGCTTGAACAAGGCGCAAACTCCAGTGAGCCTGATGTAAACAGGTTACATACCAAGCGAGTTCACAAAAGAATCGTACATTGGATAATCCCATTGAGCACTACAAAACTTGCTCGGTTGTGTGGTCAAGTGATGGAATTTGAGCTCTGAAGTTGTGTGGTGAAGTGGTAGATCATGGTGTGTCGTTTATGTATTGGAGCTGATGGGGAGACCATGACCGGAAGTCTGATGAAGAGCATTTAAATTGAAGATTGAAACGTGCCCAAACGGGCCAGCTATGACAGATGAGTCATTTCTGCAGGGGGAGATTGTGGCAAAGCCGGTCGAGATAGGAAGGACAAAACCTCGACTTCTGGCAAAGCATGAAGCGGATATAGTTGACGAATAGTAGGACAATGACTGTAAACATTTACGCTACCGCTGGATAACTTAATGTGTAACGGGGTGAATCGTTACATAACAATTTATAAGAAATTGTTAATAGAATATAACTATAAGAGTTATATTCTCAGAATATTGTCATAAGGACAAATATTCTGTAGCACTTACGAGTAGTTCCTAATTGGTTGATATAGGCCATTATATCAACCAACGAAGACGCGCCACGACAGACGCACGCAATGAGTGGTGAGCAGATATTTGATATGCACATTTGTATTCAGACATAGTTAGATGAAGATAAATAGTGATTTATTGCAGACATTAACTATTATAAGTACAGTTCTACTTTTTACTTTAACCAAGTACTCGCTTCTTCTTACCGTCTTCCTCTGCACGTACGAGTGTACGTGAAGTTACGAGGCACCGCCTTATTCTGTCATCAGAATAAGTAGCTTGTACTGTTACCAGTACAAGCTTCAGGGTGCCCCGTTACACAATGGGCGAATCCCAATCTTCAAAGCCGTCTCGGACTGTAAAAAGAGGATCGCAATCAGTGAGCCGCGATCATGGGACCGCGATTGAGGGACCGCGGTCAGTGGAATAATATAAAGGTACTGCGATTAAGGGACCGTGATCAGGGGAACGTGATCATGGGAACGTGATCAAGGGACCGCGATTAGTGAGTCGAGACCCAGCGTGGGCTATCTGATCTGAAAGGATTGCAAATAAATTTGGAAGGGAGGCCGCACCTGGTAGTATTATCTGACCTACAGGGTAGGCATAGTCATAGTTTTAGTCTGGTTGGACTACATTAAACAGAGTTCAACTTTCTTCTGAACACATTCGTGTCGTTCTTCTTCCGGGCAGGATGTTTGGCCTCCCATGTAACGGGGCACCCTGAAGCTTGTACTGGTGACAGTACAAGCTACTTATTCTGATGACAGAATAAGGCGGTGCCTCGTAACTTCACGTACACTCGTACGTGCAGAGGAAGACGGTAAGAAGAAGCGAGTACTTGGTTAAAGTAAAAAGTAGAACTGTATTTATAATAGTTAATGTCTGCAATAAATCACTATTTATCTTCATCTAACTATGTCTAAATACAAATGTGTAAATCAGTTATCTGCTCACCACTCATTGCGTGCGTCTGTCGTGGCGCGTCTTCGTTGGTTGATATAATGGCCTATATCAACCAATCAGGAACTACTCGTAAGTGCTACAGAATATTTGTCCTTATGACAATATTCTGAGAATATAACTCTTATAGTTATATTCTATTAACAATTTCTTATAAATTGTTATGTAACGATTCACCCCGTTACATCACCCCCCCCTTAACCATCATTCACTTTAATGACTGATTGACTAAATGGATACTCGTCCCAAATCATTTGGGACAGGGTTTGCACTTGTTGGTCCGCGTCCACTTTCCAACATTTCATCGCATGGTAAACAAGCCCATGCGATGCGCGAACAAGGCCGCCGAGAGCGCGTCTGCACGTCTCTGTGCGGACGTCGAAGCAGAAACAACAGCAACTGATGTCTCATCGGTTGCTGAAGCGACCCAGCCTGTGTCACTTGGTGATGCAGGCGCTGGTCATGAAGACACTCGTGTCTTCACAGAGTATGAGCTCGGTGTCTCATACTCTCCTGATACGGAAGATGGATCCGTATCGACGGCGATTGAATCTAAGCCGCCTGCCAAGCGTGGCATGGATGATGCTATGTGTTGCAGCATCTTTGGTTCATCTGACGAATCAGATGAACCATCGCCGAAGCGAAGGCGCTCGAGGTCGCGAGACTCGGGCGCTAATAGTGGTGTCGGTTCTCCTATGGACACCACTTCACAGCGAGGTGCCAGTACTTCTGTCGGCACGTCGCAGGAAGAGCGGGACCGCAATGTGTTGCGTCTCGCTCCTGAAAAGAAGGCATGGATGCCTCCTAAATCAGTCATGGATCACTTGTCGGCGACGACGAGTGATCGTTATCGAACACGATTGTTCGATTCGTCAAGGATCCATCACCTTGACCCCAGCGCGAAAAACTATCGCGCTGAACACGAATTCTTCATCGATGCTTTCTTCAGACATCGATGGTACAGTGGGAATCACAAGCGTGATGGTCCCTCACTACTTCAAGCGTGGAACGCCTACATCCATAACCTCGAGGATGTAGGTCGTGACGCTTGGAACGACAAACTTATCAAAGCTCGTGATAAGTTTGAAAAGCGAACCCCGACAGGTGCACGCTACAAGCTGCATCGTCTGTCAAGGGAGAAAGAATTACCCTGCCTCTCTTGGGGAGACTCGTGCCCATGTTGTGTGAACAACTCTGCACGAGCACCTAAGGAGGCTTACCTCCTTACCAGCCCGTGGTGGCGCGTACGTGTCTCTACTGAGATGTACGAAGGGATTGACAACCTGAAATCCCTTTACGACCGTGCCGGGAAGACTTTCTCCGGCGGTCCTTCTGCGGTACAGGATGTGCCGCGTCGTACTGCTCAACCAAACCCAGTAAGTCGATCATCAGTTGGGAGCGGGGCTCCCAAGAATCCCAGGACGGGGGGATAGCCGCGCCACCGGACGAGATAACTCGTCCGACGTCCGTTCACGTCGCGGTGGTTCAACAGCTGCTCAACTAGATAGCGCTGGCCACCGCGAGAGTCCTCTAATGGAGGTGGAGGAGGAGGAAAGACGCTCTCCACACGATCATGTGGATCGGTGTGTTACCGAGAGCTTCTTTGATCGCGTAACGCAAGGGTTACGCGACGATCTCGAACATGAGCGGAATAGGCGTCTCCAAATGGCGGACACTGCCTCGAAGCATCGAGCTGAGTTTGCCTTTGCTCAGCTTGAGAACGAGAGATCTCTGACATCTCTTCGTGACGAGCTAAGGGTAGCTCGTGGGATTGTTGATCGGTCTCGGGATGAGATAACTGCTCTTCAGACCCTTGTTGATGCCCACCATCGGGAGCACAAGGCTCTCTGCGAGATGCTTGAGCGCAAGGGCGTTCTTCATCGGAAGAAGCAGCGTACTGATAGTACGGCTTAAGCCGACCAACGTAAAACGTGGGATGCGTTCGCATCTTACGTGGTAATTCGATCGTGTATGCATTGCCTAGGCGGTGCAATACACGAAAAGGGCCGATGTACTTGGGTAGAAGTTTACTACTACCCAAGTTAGTCACTACATGCTTTGTTAGATTAACCGTAGACAGTAGGACTAAGTCACCTTTATTGAATAAAAGAGTGTTTGCCCTTCCATTCTTGTCAGCGTTTTGCTTTTGCTTATCCACCGCTTCGGCGATGGAGTCTTGCACAAAAAGGACTACCGTTTCACGAGCCAGTATGAACTCATCCGATGACTCGTTAGCTTCAGTGTGCTGTGAGCGCACTGCAGCAACATCAACCTTTTCTTCAGTGAGGGCTTCCGCACTCTCACTGGCATCATCTTCTTCGATATCGATGTTATCGATATCGGCATCAAACGCAATGACTTCTTCGTCAGAGCGTGATGAGCGTGAACAAATTCGGTTTTTGCTCGCGCGAGTCCCTCCCCCCCTTAAACCAGAGTTACACTCTAGTAAGGTGGGTACACGCGGATGGCGCAAGCCATTCACGTAAAACGGTGTATGTGTCGTGGACGCATGCACCGAGTTGTTGATGGCAAACTCTACCATTGGCAAAAACTCACTCCAACTCTTAAAGGAGTGTACGTATCCTCGAAGTATCTCTTCAAGGACACGATTGGCACGTTCCGTCTGACCATCTGACTCTGGATGATCAGGTGTTGACATCTTCAAGCGCGTTCCGAGTGATTTGAACACGGAACGCCAGAAATCAGCAGTGAATCGTGGATCTCTGTCTGATACGAGTTCACGGGGCAACCCATGAAGTCGGAAGATGGTGTCAATAAAGACACAAGCACAGCCACTTGCCGTGATTGTCTCTGGTACAGCCACAAGGTGTACCATTTTGCTGAATCTGTCAACAAATACGAGAATACCCGTATTCCCGCGTGCGTCTTTGGGTAACCCGAAGACGAAATCCATTGAGATGGATTCCCAGCACTCAGCCGGAACCGGTAGAGGCTGTAAAGGTGCACGCAGTGAAGGACTTGACTTCACTCGTTGACAGACTTCGCATGCGCGAACATACTTTCGCACAAACTGATACTGGCGGGGCCAGTAAAAGTCTCGACTTACCGTGAGATATGTTTTCTCTCGGCCACGATGTCCTCCTATAGGAGCATCGTGATACTCGAACATGATCCGCAAACGCAGATCATTATCATCTGGAATGACAACACGTGGTGTGTCACCAGAAACGGCTGCATAATACAGTAAACCGTTACGAGTAGTGTATCGATCTGATGCAGATCGATACGCAGACGACAATCGTTTCAACGATTCTCGAGATGGTTGGGAGAGATGTGACAACAACTTCACTATCTCACCATCTTGGGCGTATGCCCGCCTCACATCATCATACAACGTTGTAGATGGGACTGAGGACGTCATAACCGCAACGGTGACTGTCTCACTGTTGGGTTTCGCGACTGTTTCAAAGTCGGGACGACGTGAGAGTGCATCAGCGACGACATTAAGTCGTCCTGGTTTGTACTCGACCGTAAAGTTGTATTCCGCAAAGAATGACAACCACCGCGCCATTCGTTGTGAAAGGTGCGGGCTGTTCACTGCCGTGCGTAATGACGCATGGTCAGTGTAAACAACGAAGGGTCTATCTCCTAATAGATAGACTCTGAACTTCGCGAGTGCATACTTCATGGAAAGGAGTTCCTTGTCATGCACTGGATAGTTCCGCTCAGCTGGTTGCAGCTGACGCGACTGATAGCAGACGACGCGTTCAACGCCTTCAAGATCGTACTGCATTAATGCACAGCCGATTGCGAAATCGCTGGCATCACAGACCACATGAAATGGCCTGTCCTGATCGGCTATTGCTAGGACTGGGGATTCTATCAAGATCTGCTTGATACCCTCAAAGGAGCGTTGACATTCAGCGTTCCATAACCACCTCTCGTTCTTTTTCAACAAACGAGAGAGGTGCACAGTCATCTCGGCGTAATTGCGTGAATACTTATGCAAATACGCCGCTAGCCCAAGGAATTTTCGAAGACCTTTGACATCGACCGGCACAGGCCAGTCGGTGATCGCCTTGATCTTTTCGGGATCAGGACGTACACCTTTCTTACCAACGATGCACCCAAGAAGTGGTATTTCGCTTGCGGCAAATATACACTTCTTGAGGTTTGCATACAATTGATGCTTTCGCATGATTGTAAGAACCTGTCGGACGTGGTACCTGTGAACCTCAACATCCGACTTTCCATCCATAGCTCGACTATGGATGAATACGTCATCGAAATAACTCGGCGCGAATTCTCGTACTGGTCTCAACAGATGTGATACACATCTGTTGAACGTGGTAGGGGCATTACTAAGCCCTTGTGGCATTACTAGCCATTCCCAAAGCATGCCGCTAGGCGTGCTAACTGTGGTATAGGGTATATCCCGTTCTCGCATAAGGATTTGATAGAAGCCATCCATCAAATCCATTGACGAAAAGATGGTAATCTTTGACATACCATCAATGATTACGTCCTTCCTCGGTGTCGGCGTCTGAGCCGGTACCGTTGCAGCGTTCAATTTGTTGAACGCGTGCACTATCCGCCACCCTCTTGTTGCTTTTCGCACACAGAAGTCGGAGAGCTATGTGGGGAAGTTGATTCCCTCACATGGCCCGCAGCTAAACGATCGGCAAAGAACTTGTCGATCGCAAGTACTTGTTCACGAGGCAGTGGCCACTGCTTCATGACACAGTACTTTGAGCCTGGTTTAAGCTCGACCTCGTGTCGAATACCTCTATCCTTCGGTAATTCGCACGGAACAGTTTCAGGGAATACATCCTTGAATTCAACCAAATCTTCATAGAGAGGATTTTTCTTGAGCGATTCCCATGATTGGGAGTCAAATCGCTCAATTCGTGTCTTTTCATCTAGGACACTCTCGTCCATAGATGAACTACTGAGAACTCTCTCGTTCTCAGTGAACACTGTTGCTGACCTTATGTCGGTTACACACTCGTCGTCAGCGACGAGTATGCAGATCTGCTTGACTTTGCCACTACGCAGATCACGCAAGAACCTTTTATGTTCGAGCGTTGGCAACTGAGTGATCTCCAAAGTTAACTTCGGAGGCGCACTCAGATCAAGTGTATAAGCGCCTACACTTGATTCGTTATTGACTATGACATTCAATGTCTCTGTCATTTCCTGGGGACTTATTCCCTCAGGCTTCGAAGGACTTATTCCTTCGGCTTCCCGGGGACTTATTCCCGCGGGTTTCGGGGAACTTATTTCCGCCGTATTTGTAATCTTGGGACTTATTCCCTTTGCTTCCTCTAGCTGGGGTTGCGCAACCACAGCGAGATCCTCTACGAAAGACTCTCCAGTCGATCTAGGATTATCGTTTCGCTTAACCTGAGCGACCGATTGTTTCTCTTCTAGATGTTCCCCTCTAGGGATAAATCTTTGTCCCAGTCCACCTGACTTATTCGAGTGGTGGACCTTCGGCGCAGCCTGTGTTTCCTCACAGCCGCCGGAACTTTGTTCCGAAGTGTAACCGTTTGGTACACTAAGGTTTTGTGCAGTCGTACTAACGACCGTACCACAAGTGAGGCCATCACACTCACTCGTAGTACATCCACACACTTGTGGACGCTCCAAAACGTTCATCAGATGGCCATCTGATGAACAAGCGGCAGGCATCGTTACTGTTCGATGTTGCCAGTTTACTCGTGGTTCGTACCTTCTGATCCACGGTATTCCAAGGATGACATCAAATTTGTCATCCAAATCCAATACGATAAAGTCATCGTCATATTGGGTATCTTCTAGCGTATAGTGGATCTTCACTATGCGCTTCATGACGGTTACGGATGCGCCTGTCGCAAGACGTACCGTCATCCTCGTAGGAGGTGTGTCACATTCACTGAATTTAAAGTGACCATCTTCTAGCGATTGGCGTCGCACAAAATTGTTGGACGCCCCACAATCGACTAGAGCTCGAAGGGACAACTTATTCGTCACTTCGAGTTTCAAGGTAATGAGTGAGACCTCATTACCTAGAGCAGCAACGCACAACGTTTGTGTGTTGGGAGCAACCTTCATCAAGAGGCCTACAAATTCTCTTGACGTTGCTGGACCAGTAGGGTGCTCCGCACCTACTGATCCTGTCCGTTTTTTGACGGTCCATCTCGTTGTTGCGTCTTTGCACCTACAGCGGACCCGCGTCTCTGCCCCTTTCTCATGGGTGGACGGTCACTACGCCCAGTGTTGCGAGACACTGGACGAGGGGCACTACACTCGTAAGCGTAGTGTCCTGTCTTTTGACATCTGTTGCATCTCTGCAACTTCTTGTAGTCTGTAGAGCGAGCCTTCTCGCTCTACATAACAGAGTTCCATCGGCTCTGGACCTCCGTTGTCATATCGTCTCGGTTGACGATATGATGTCGAGCTGGCGCGAGCCTGTCTCAGACTGAAGTCTTCCTGCTCCGCAATGGAAATGGCTTGTTCTAGTGAATCTAGTTCAAGCCGGAACAGGTGAGTCTTGACGGGACCATCCGCAAGACCCTGCATGAACACCGAAACCAACGTGTGTTCATCCACCGGATTGGAACTTATACAACTCGTAAGATGTCGTGTATGTTGGGCGTAAGCGTGCACAGCACGCTTACCCTGTTTGAGCTTCAAGAGTTCGGTTCGAGCCCTGAACTCAGCTCTAGGCGGTTCAAACGTTTGTCTGAGCCGCGACTTGAAGACTTCCAACGACCCAAACGCATATGGGTCGTGCAACTTGAGCCCCAGTGCCCAAGTCTTGGCACGTCCTGCCAGATTTGACTGGGCAAATGCAACTTGCATATCCCCGTCGTCGATGCGACGCGCCCTTATGGCGTCATCCAATTCGACGAACCACCTCAAGAGGGAGTCTTCTTCGACCCCCCTATACTTTGAGATGTCAATCTTCAAAGTCTCGGGTCGACGCGAGTGCATCGACCCGCCAGCAGCAGCCTGCTGCTGTCTCAACAGTTCAAACTGTTGAGCACCTTGTTCTCTCAACAACTCTGCTTGTTGAGAACCTTGTTGGTGAAGCAAGGCTACTTTCTCGCGTTCGGCGTCAAGTTATTTTGAATGAACTTGGCGATAGTAGCATGTAGGGCATCTCTATTGAGAGCCTCTAGCATGACGCTAACAGCATGGATGCCCATGGTCGAACCCATTCGTTCAACCGCATCCCATTCGACATCGCTCAAATGGGAGTAGCCGTCACGCGTAGCGTGAAAGCTTTGGTCATCTTCATCATCCAACATATTCATGTTGGATGTGAACGCGGTCCTTGGACGGACTACGAAGTGCTACCAGGTGTAACGGGGCACCCTGAAGCTTGTACTGGTGACAGTACAAGCTACTTATTCTGATGACAGAATAAGGCGGTGCCTCGTAACTTCACGTACACTCGTACGTGCAGAGGAAGACGGTAAGAAGAAGCGAGTACTTGGTTAAAGTAAAAAGTAGAACTGTATTTATAATAGTTAATGTCTGCAATAAATCACTATTTATCTTCATCTAACTATGTCTAAATACAAATGTGTAAATCAGTTATCTGCTCACCACTCATTGCGTGCGTCTGTCGTGGCGCGTCTTCGTTGGTTGATATAATGGCCTATATCAACCAATTAGGAACTACTCGTAAGTGCTACAGAATATTTGTCCTTATGACAATATTCTGAGAATATAACTCTTATAGTTATATTCTATTAACAATTTCTTATAAATTGTTATGTAACGATTCACCCCGTTACATCCCAACGTCAGAGAACTTCGATACGACGAACAGGAAGATCACTCCTGAAGCTACCTGTCCAGGTGTACAATGACTTTCAACATCCCTCAAATGCAATCGGACGTGGGCAACCTTGCTGGTTGAAGTACAAGCTCACGAGACGGCTGAAGTGGTCAGAAAGCTCGCTTCTTGGCACAAGACGATCAAGGCTGTTTGCGGCAACTCTGGGAGAAGGCCAACCGAGAACACGCGATGAAAAGAGGATTTTACAATCGATCGACGACAACCTCTACAATGGTCAGATCAGAATTGAACTAAATCTTCATAGAAAAGTGCAGCCCGCCTTGCCGACGGGTACACAAGCTGCGGAATGAATATGTGCAAGCGGGAACGAAATACCCCTAATTTAGTCGTTCATCTGTGTACCAGTGAAGAGTTAAGATCACCTCACAAGATGAGCAAACCTCACTGAATCCTTGATTCGAATATAAGCCCGCGCACCGTTGTGGTGTAGTGGGGTAAGCTCATTTTATGGGGCGATCTAAAGTGAGTTTTTTTTTTAAAAAGTTACACATGATCCTTTTTTAACTTGTGTACCCGTACGTAAGGTGGAATTCACTATTCTAGGTGAACTTGATTTGATGCTGAACTTGAACGTTGCAGAGATTAATGTCGATCAAGTACGTAATGGACCACCCAGTTACATACGTATTTCAATAAATTTTACATTTTACTCTTACAGGAGAGCTACTTCCGGATTAGCGGATGTAGCGTGTCGTTTATCTTAACGGGATTCAGGAGGTCTTACATATTCTTATACAGTTAGATGTCGACACGTAGATCGAGTGGCCGTATGAGTCCAGGAGCCACTCGTACTTAGTGTCTAAATTAAAAATAGAAACAGAGTCAAATTTACTTAAAACCTTCGACTTAAATTTAAGTCATTCTCTGCATTTGGGTGAGTTGAGAAAGAGCTGCTCTAGCCCCGTACCAGGAAGATAATAACTCATGTAATCGGATAGACGATGTTCTCTTCTGGCATAACGTCTTTCAGAAGACTCCGAGAAATGTGAAGTCGTCGCCATAAATTTGCAAGGTGTCATTGCGACAATCACGAGGTTATCTATTTTATCCTAACCACCTCAAGGAAAAAAGTGAAGAATGTCAATTCAGGTATCGACCTTTTTGTGAGGGTGGTTGAGACTAGATTACAAAAACGAGTGTGATAACCAGGTACTTTGGTGTGGTATCCACAAAAAGAGATCAGTGAAAGTGATAAGTGTATCATTGTATCACATACACTAAGCGGTAACAGCGCACCTGACAGATTATCGGTAGGTGGTATTAATCGTCATATGGTCTTTAAGTTTGGCGAAGTTCGTTTTGTGTGAGGGATTGGGTTGTCAAAACTGTTTGACGAGACCCCAAACCACTCAATGTGCTGGCCTGCCAACTGTATGAGGGGGTACCCCGATGCCGCTTGTGGACCTTGACTCACCTTTTATACCCTTCGGCTTGGCAAATTTCACTCTTTGAAGGACTTGGTGATGATGTAGATGTCGGCCTTGATGGAGACCGACCTTGGGGTCCCGAGCGGTGTGCTTCAGTCGGGGTCCAATGTAGGCGGCCACTTGATCGACTTGGTCGAGAGTGGTCTTACAACTAATTGTATCAGGTGCTGGTGGCGTCTGGCCTTTACTTGTCTCAGGTGTGTTAACCACCTGGACTCTTTGTATCTTCTCCCTTACCACTAGGGGATGGAGACCGCATTCTATAGCGGGCTTGAGTTGGGGGGGGGGGTCTACTCTACGAACCCACAGGACAATGTACTTCCTGGGGATCTACTTACGCTTTTGTCGTACTGAAACCTGTATATTCAAAGGGTGGGCCAAACATATCCCTGGCCCGAAACAGGTCGGTATACTTACAAGCTTCTTACCGCACGACACGTCGTGCTACTTAGATCACAAATTGAGTAGTCTTTTAATGTTATCCTCTACCTTCAACTCCTTTACTCTATCCTTGCTTTGCTCTTGGGTTCGATATGATGTGTGGCCAGGTGCCACCTGATCTTGAGAGGCCTAGTTGACCTATGGGTGACCAGGTCGGACGATGGGTGGCCAGGTCGGCCTACGGGTGACCGAGGTCCACCTTGGGCGCTTAGACCGACCGAGGGGAGGACAAGTCGGCCTTCAGAGAAATGAGGTTCACCTTGGGTGACCAAGCCGACCGACGAGTGGGTGAGAAAGTTTCATATCGGTACTGTTAACTGGTACCTTCGGTCGGTTTGACCCCGTTAGAAGTAACCATAACCGCTCGTCACGGTTGGACCCGACGGCCGCTGCTTACCTGTGATCCCCAAGTCTTCGGTACCTTTCCTGTCCGCAGGGCCCCATGTCCGTCCGGCTCATCGACATTCAATTCTCTCATTTTTGAATACTCGCTTCACCATAATTGTGGAAACACCACAAAAACCTACAACAGGGATATCCGATCAAGCATCATTGATATAAGGTAAATCACGTAAGTGAGTTCTATTATCGTTATATATAAGTAAACTTATTCCTTTCCCCTTTTGATAGTAAAAGACACGTGTCTGTTTAAAGAAGTCATTGATCGTAAGTGTTAAGAGCCTATACTAAGGCTAGTTCTCTTGGGTATTAGTGCCACGTGATTCTTTAATAAATTATTCCCCTGTATCGAGACAAAAATCTTACAAGCTTGTTCAAATTTCTTAAAGTTAAGTTCCACCACATCTGTAAAGACTTGAGACTCTATAGGCTTATACCTCTCTAATTCTACGAGTCTTCCTTTGAAAATGACCAAGGGGAGCAACTCTACCGTATAAACGGTCCTATCTTACTGGATCTTATTTTTTTCTGATTCTAATCTAAGTTAAGGTGTACTTTGAAGGACGGGCCGGTAACTAACTCGATGAGAAAAACATAATATGATTTATTAAACGAGTATCCGCAGTTCAACCAGAAAATTTGCTTAAGATTTTGGTTGCCTAAAGGTTCGAATATTGGTCGTGATAGGTTAGGTTTGAAATATCAAAGTGGTCGTATATGTGTGCGTAGTCTGGCATTTTTAAGTTAGGATGGCTTGGTTCGGGGGTGATTAAACGACTTTCGTTTTGTAAAGTCCACACCCTTATGGACACAGATATACATTACCAAATAAGAAGGAAAGATTAAACGGTCGCGAGTTGGTCATTGTACCATTAATTTGTTTTGCCCAATAAAAATCTGGGCTTAAATTAGAATTCGGTGGAACCAGTCCTATTCAATTGAAAATGTCCTACTTTGGAATACCTACTAACATTCTAACAACAAAGTGAAATGTGCAGAAAGGAGCTTGCCGGCAGGCAGTTAGCTACAAGGTGAAAGACGCGTGAAAAAGTGGTCAAACATTCGTCGATTGAGTCTTTGAATTGAGGATGATCTAACGCAATATGCTATAGAAAAGCATTCTGCTTGGTGTCGTGCGCATGTATTCATTCCATGTAAATTTCGTGTCTCTATATTGCAGAAATGATTGCATTAAAACCGTGGTGAATGCATTCACAGAATCAACTCTGAGAGACCTGTTTATAAAAAACGTGCAGCCAATTTAGTCAGTCACATTTTCCCAATGATCCGTATAACAGCCAAGTAGTCAGCATAAATCGTCGCTTACTTGACGACGACAACGTCAAATTCGATTTTCCTTTAATGCAGCCAGTCTCAAGACAAGCAGCTTCAAGGAATGAAGTGTAAAGTAACTTCTGACGAGCAATATATGGCGGTGCACTTTTAAATGTATCTTTTCAAATAGAAAAGCAAACTAATGCACAAAAGCGGTATGTAGCCTGCATTTGAACTCCTCGAATTGAAGTGTGTTCTGCACGTATAGTATAAATCCAACATAGCCAAACTATGTAATTTTTAAAGAGTTCATTTAAGCTATCTCGGTGTCCTATTCATTTTCTCAGCTTTCTTATCTCATCGCGTGCCGGCAATCGCCATTACTGAAATACCATTTTAATCTCGAAGTGGAGTAGATATATCAAAATTAGCATTGGAGTATGGGTTTACCAAATCAAGACTAGGTATCACTTTGTTGATTAGGTTTACCAGATTGAAACTAGATGTCACATTGTTGATTGGCCAAAAATTGTTAATACGATGACTTACGCGTGACCGGAATGTTTACTCTCCAATATGAAAATTATCAGTGTACTACTGTGTCCCATTTGTTTACGGACTGAATTGTACGTGAACTACACGAATCTTGTAGACTTGCTCAAGCATACCTTTAATCAGTCTACAAGTTTATTGCTTTTTATCACAAAAAAGCTATTTGAGGTATAAAAAGTGAGATATCACCAGCTGAAACGAGGGTGACAATAGTATTCAGCTGTCGCATGTTAAAAAGATAATATTAAACTTAAAGCGCTCCCTCATCTTTACCTATGGCTTCGGTCCTTTTTTTGAACAGTTACGCTTTTTTGTAACCAACGGCTAATTTTAGCCTTGAGCAATAAAAATGATGATAAAAACGAGCGATTTTAAAATGATTTTAACATTCAATATTTACAATCTCTTGACAAACTCCGCCAGATTGTAATAATGACAATCACTTCCATTTACATCAAACCTGTATTTTTAAATATTAAATCCTTCATCACATTGTCACGCTGCGTTCTGGTTGACTGAAACTTCTTGCTCGAGTGAAATCCAACATCTTATGACTTCACTACGTTACAAAACTGAAGCCTCTGATAATGATCGGACAAATGCCATTCAATTTCATTTGATATCTGCAGTTATAAGGGCTCCAAAAATTGCAAAAAACGTTTCTAATTAAGATCTTAACGCTGAAGGTATGTTCGTCTAAACATACACGATAGGCAAATACTGCGAGCCAAACGCGGATTAATCCGTAAACAAATGAGACGGAGTAGTACTAGTCAGAACGCGGTTATTTAAAAACCGACCAAATAAAAAAAACGCTACTGATATGCCCTTATCAAAGGAGATTGGTGAACGGCTAGGTTTTTATTCAGCTGAGTCTTTTGAAAAGTTTCCTTAAAAATCAGAGGTACACCCATTTTCGGCAGGAATAGGTCACACACAAAGCCAATTCTCTATTTCTTATTATCCTCTCGCTTTTTTTTAAATCTTAGCTTAACTTCACAGTTCTTATCGTCCACCAGCACATCATGTATCTTCATGCAAGTGCATACTGTGAAATGCATAGTATCAAAGAATCTCCGTTGATCGTTTAAGATCATTCTGCCAAGGCGCTGTGCGGATCTAGGTGATGTTCATACATCGCGGCCTCCTCAATTTACTGTACAACACCAAAGGAAAGAATTTTGGTGGACGGATGTGGACAACTGCATGCCGTGGAACAAAATTGGTCTTAAAAGCCAAAATTTGACCTTAAACAAAATAGGTAATGACAATCTTTGCTTTTCGGAGTCAAAGACAAGTTCTTGGAGGCAAGAGAACGTAAAGGGTTGGTGTAGCGGAGCGACACAGCTCCTTAAGTCAGAGGAAGACTTAACACTGAACGAGCTACTTAGTTCTAAAGCACTAGACTCAATGAATCAACAAGCGTAAGGGTTATGGTCCTTGTTCCAGGGGACCAAATGATTCAGTGAGTCGGCAGCACTTAGTGCTTAAGAGTACCTAGATACCTCAAGGAGTTGTTGCTAACTCTTAGTGATCAGTGATCAACGACCAAAGACGCCTCGGAAGGCACGTGTCTTTAAGATCAAAAGGGGAACCAAATTTTATTCGCGTTTAAACCTATAGAATATCTTAATCCTAATCTAGACACTTATGTCCTAAGTCAGTACAACTAAGATCTCTCCTATCTGGTGGCTGGCACCAGTCAGCCCCTATATACCGATAAGATATTCTAAATATCTTTCAGTGGGAAATTATCCGTGTATCTAAAACACAGTGTACCACGTACACTACTACATGTGACTCCGTTTCACCCTCCTTTACGAGACTGACGTTACTCAGAAAGTCAACTGAGCCTTGTCTTAATCGAACGTTATTATCGAACTTTGTTCTTTGACGAGGTTAGTGCTCTTGAGGTTCTACTCACGGTAAAGTAAATCTTAGCACGATGTACTCATTTCTTATCGAGTAGAAGACTCTCTGTGTTACCTCAAAATGGGAATGGTAGTGGACTATGGTAGCGATATCAGTGTCCCGGGTGATGCAGGAACAATGTCCGATACACCCATGTCTGAGGTTTAACTTCGTACTGCCCCCTGTCCGTTTTCTGAATGTGCTAATGAGAATATGCCATTGGCGCCGCGCTTGACACTCAGTTCGGATGATACCATCAGCATGAACTCGCTCGATGAGCAGCAACAGTTAATCCTTACACAAGGAGAAAGCAATCGACGCCTTGCGCAAATGGTCGCAACCCTCGACCACCAACGTGACTATGTGCTCACTTCATTCAGTGTGGAGGAACGCTTGCGTCAAGCGGACGGTCAATCGTTGGCAACGCGGATCTTTGGCCATAGGCCTAAGTCTCCTGAGGAGGTGGCGAGCGGCCAGGCACTTCGCTAGAGGTTCCTGGAACCTCACCTTACGACCCAATGTCAATCCAAGGCACGCCTTGACATGCAAGCACGTGGTGCTCCGGTCCCACCGATTAAGGGTATACCCATTCTCTTGTCTGCAGGCAAAACAGAGAGCGATGAAGATGATGCCTTCGTTCGCTGGGTGCACCGCGCACGTCGCCCTGCAGCATGCCTGCCCTAAGTTCTAGTGCCAATGTGGCTGCTGTGCATCTCGAACTTAAGCTTCGGTATGACTATGCCAAGCGAGAGCCAGATGCCAATTACGTATCCTCACGCGATATGCTTTGGACACTACGGTAGCTGCGAGTGTAAGTCAGACGATGACCACTAAACCGCCAACCCACACCACTAGTGGTGGAAAACGGCCTCGGTCTCAAGATGGTCTTAACCACGATATTTAAAACATCCAAAGCATAAGGACAATCTTGCCATGGGGGTACTTCGTATTCCCATGAGTTCTCAGACTCAGGGTACCACGCCACTTTATTCGATACTGGTATTGGCCATTACGACGACGTCGTTTCAGTATTCTCTCGACAAGAAGCTGAAGACACCTATGCGCATCGAGCAGCGTCGGTGGTGGCCGGTGTACCGGTGGCAGTCCACGATAAATTAATTCTCGAAGTGAAGGGTCTTCAAGAGACCTTGGTGGAGACCCGATGTATGCTTAATGCGATAAAGAGACGCCTCCAGAATATGGAGCATGCCCAAACTCGGAGCGAGGCTCAGTTGGACTTGCTGATTCGCTTACACTAATTTGGATCACCGCCCTCGTCGTCGGCGCCAGCGCCTCAAATTTCACATTGGAAGGATACTGGTACGGCTTAAGTAAGCCTAAGTAGAAGACTGGGTATGTGCGCAATTTGCGTAAAGGTTGAGCGTATACGCAAGGCCCTTCTTGGCAGTGAACGTAAATGGTCCAATGAAGTGTGGACGCAACTTCGTCTTTAATACAGCAGACACTACATTTGAAGGTAGGTTTTTAGCATTGAGTGATACGTGGTCTCCGACCATATAACTGTCAATACAGTTTCTGCAATTGGCATCAGCTTGTTGGTCTTGTTGATTTTGGCTATCAACAATTGCTTCACGCACACGTCTTAAGATACTCAATCGCGATGCGAGAACCTCTACTACCTGTATTTGAACAGTAGCAGGGCTGATATCAGCAAGCCGATAGACAACCTCTCCCCCACCATGCCCTGAACCACAGAGTGGTAGCGCTAACGGAACGCGAGGGTGGGTGAAACCGCTTACGTAAAACGGAGTTAAGCCTTTGGAGGCAAGAAAAGCGTTATTCATAGTAAATTCAACGATAGGGAGCATTGGGCTCCAACGCCTTGGCGTTTTGGCGCAACAGCCACGCAAAATTTCATTTATGACGCTCAATTTGACCATTGGTCTACGAATGGTCCGCCGGGGACATGTCCGATCGGATGCCGAGCACCTTGAAAATAGACTCATAATCTTTTCAGTGATGCAAAGATCTCTATCAGAGACGATTGCCACAGGCACATCTTGTCATCGAACACACGATAAATAAACAGCTGTGATCTACCTTCAGCATCGATCGAGTCCGGCACAGACGATGAAAAATCCATAATGATCAATCGTCAACGAACATCACAATACCAGTGCTGCCTTCCGAATCTTTCGGTAGGCAGAACGCAAAATCTGTACACATGGACTCCCAACACCCGGTGAATACAGCAGGCTAGCCAGCGGCGCAGCCGCATGTGCTAAGGGTTTGACCCTTTGACACATTTCACACTTGCGCACTTAGGTGCTCACCCACTCATATAGTTTGCGCTACCAATAAGTCTGGCTCACCGAGCCGTAGGTCTTCTCACGACCAAGATGACCACTAAAATCGGTATCATGTGCCTCATTGAGGATTCGATGCTTCAACTCCTCATCATGAGGGACAGCAATACGAGGATTGTCATCAAAATCCGTGCGATAGCATAACAGGCCATTATCGACAGAATGTTGATGTAGCTTCGCTCGTAAACGTGCCGACAATTTATCTCGAGTCTAAGATTCTCACTTCCAGCAGCCCGTACCGAGCAACACATTGTCCTCCTTGGCATAAGCCGCACGGATTAAGTTAGGGACTGATGATGACAGTATCGTAACACGAGCAAGCTCATTGTCAGGTCGGCGCGATAGCGCATCAGCTATAATATCTTGATTTCCTGGCTTGTATCCACCTATTTGGCAAAAAAGGAAAGCTAACGAGCCAGTATCTGAGAGATATGCGGCGTCTGTGTCGCAGTGCGCAATGACGCATGATCTATATTGATCACAAAAGGCTCTGAGCCAAGCAGATGTACTCTGAATTTGACCAGTGCATACTTCATAGCAAGCAATTCTTCGTCATGAACTGGATTGTTCTTTTCAGCAGCTTTAAGCTGGTGACAATCGAACGCAATGACGCACCTGCGTCCATTAACATCTGCTTGTAACAGAGTACTGCCAATGGAAAAGTAAGATGCGTCACAGACGATACTGAAGGGCCGATCAAGATTGAGCAAAGCCAATATTGGCGCATGATGGAGACTCTCCATAACCGCATCAAATGCACTGTGCTCGGTACGACCCCAACACCAATCCACATCCTTTTTAAGGATTTTGGATAATGGCCTGGCCATGTCTGCGTAATTCGCACTATTCACATGCAAGTAAAAGGCAAGGCCAAGCCAATTAAGCAAGTCCTTTTGGTTCTTAGGAACCGGTCATTCGATTATGGCCCTTACGGTAGCGGGGTCTGCTCGAAGGCCTTGCTTTTTAACGAAGCACCCTATAAAGGGAATCTCTTCTGCACCAAAGATGCACTTAGATGCATTGGCGTACATTTTACTGCGCATGCACTCGAGCATCGCTCGTAGATGATTAATGTGGTTATTCACATCTGATCGACCATTTGTTGCACGACTATGGACAAAGATGTCATCAAATTACGTTTGTGCGTAACCTCGATGAGGTCGGAACAGTTGTGTCACCAGACGGTTAAAAGCAGCCGGGGCGTTAGACAGCCCTTGTGGCATAATGAGCCACTCATAGAGCATACCGCTCGGACTACTCACACAGCGGAATATCACTCGCTCGCGTGAGCAGCAGGTAATAACCATCGACTATGTCGAGTGCGCTGTACAATGTGCATCTCACCATATTTCTCTGAAGCACATCCTTTCTAGGTACAGGCGTCTGTGCCAGTATAGTTGCTGCATTGAGCTTATTATAAGCATGCACAATGCGCTACTTGACATTTGGCTTCTTGACACAAAATGTCGGTGTTGAATGGGGAGATTTACTCTCGCGAACAATTCTAGTCGCATGCTTAGCACGAAAGAACTCGATCAATGACGTCACACTGTTTCTTAGGCAAAGGTCACTACCGTGTTACGCAGTATTAGTTCCTGGAACTAAGTCAATTTATGACGTACATGTAATGAAGTGGTCAAAGCAATTCTTGACCAATCGCCTTGATCACCTCGTAAGTGCATGTGGGACAGGTCATGCCGGTCTTGGGACTGACCGCTACAGATATCCCCAACTATGAGCTGGACGGTTTAGAAGTTATCAGTGGCGGTCACAGATTATGACCACCGGTTAGGGTCACGACGAATGACTGACCGGTCATGGTCACTATGGGCGACCAGTGGTCATAGTCATGATGGGTGACCAGTGGTCACGGTCACGATGAGTGACCAGTGGTCATGGTCAAGATGGGTGACCAGTGGTCATGGTCACGATGGGTGACCAGTGGTCACGGTCACGATGGGTGACCAGTGGTCATGGTCACGATGTGTGACCAGCGGTCTTGGTCACGATGGGTGACCAGTGGGCACGGTCACGATGGGTGACCAGTGGGCAAGGTCAAGATGGGTGACCAGTGGTCATGGTCATGATGGGTAACCAGTGGTCATGGTCACGATGGGTGACCAGTGGACATGGTCATGATGGGTGATCAGTGGTCACGGTCATGATGGGTGATCAGTGGTCATGGTCAAGATGGGTGATCAGTGGTCGCGGTCACGATGGGTGACCAGTGTTCATGGTCATTGCAAGATGACCAGCGGTCATGTTGGCAGTTAAGGTGGTTTACTTCAAGCACAGGAAATGAGGGGCAGGTGAACAACGTAGCAGAAAACTGATATAATGAGAAGTGTAAACGTAGTTCTAGCCCCTAACAGGTTAATAACGACTAGTATTGATTTTCCTACAAAAGACACGCGTCAGTATTCCTCCGGGCTGGAGTACTAGTGGCCAATCGACTTACAAGGTTTACTGTCTACGTGTTTGCTCAAGGTTTGTCCCCAGATTTCTTGGCTAGGGACAAGTATACTCATTCAAGTTAGCCCGCGATCGGACGCGGCAAGCATACAAGGCAAGGTCTTCAGACGGCTCAAGTGATCAGAAGGACAAGGTGATAAAGTGGTAAAAAGAACAAGGGAGACCAAGTATCCACATTTGGGCAAGGTGACCTCAAGGAAGGTCAGGCAACTCTAGAAGAGTGTCACCAGTAACCGTTGGTCGTGTGAAGAATTACCACGCGACCACACCCCACCTATCCTCAACTCGGTCAAGACAAGACATCTACCTTGAGACACCTAGAAGAGTGCAACCGTCCGCCAACGGGTACACAAGGTGAGAAGGAACTAGACAAGACAAGACACATAGTCCGGAGTACCCCCTCCGTTAGTCGGTCGTCCGGGCGCAAGTGGGGCGTCAAGATCGCTACGTAAATGAGCGAGTCTCACCCCACCACAATAGTGCGCGTGCCCGGATCTTCTGTGCCTCGGGATTTACAGTGAAAACCAGAGCAAAGATGCCACGGGCAAGATTGAACCGGGGGTGGAAGTGTCGGCGAGAAGGGATTGTCGCACACACGCGATTATAAATGACCCTTGGTTTGGCAGAGTTTTAAGAGGGGATGGAACGAATCGAAATCTAAAGAGAGAGATCGCCAAAATGATCTCGAAGATGAAAAACCTCTTCTTCCTCCTAAGGTCCCTTCGGGGACCATCGCGGATCGTACTGCACTGCAAAGTACGACCCTCTAGATGAAACGCGTCCAGCCAAAGCAGGACACGTTTCGTCTGAAAACAAAACCGTACACAAAGAAAAAGAAAACTAATGAAAGGCTACGGCTCCCAAGCAACGCGCGCCTGACTCCGAGGGTGATGATCAAGAAATAAGCAGGGCAGCAGAGGTCAAGATGGAAGGTTAAAAGATCGATCAGCTGCAACGTCGTTTGTACTAGACCCAGTTCAAGCGTAGCTATCAACGAACCCAGCGCTGACCATCTTTGAACCGGAGCTGATCGGACCGCTTCGGGGGCCGACATCGACTCCACAAGCAGCCACTAGCAAAGTGGAAGCAGTGCAACGTCTCATAAAACAGCTAAAAGGCGCAGGATTTGTGCCGGGGGCGTTTGACGCGCAGGTTCTGCTTGACTGCGACCTGGATCAAGTGATCACGGCCAGCCGATCACTGTTCAAAGCGCTAATCCCACTGAACGGCAACTATCACTACGTTGACCACGAGCTCACGACCAGTATCATGGTCAAAGAGAAAGACTATTCACCAGCGGCGTCGTCACATTACGCTTCGGCGGAGACGATTGCGGACGATAGCGACGGCTTGGAAATAAAGCGAATGTCGTTAGGACCTTCCGGTGCAGCACTTTCACGTGAGCACCACGAGTATCCGACTCCGACCACCGGACCGATCAGAATAACCACAGAGCCAGTCGATGCTACAGGTGACCCCGACCAGATGCTAAAATATTTTGCAAAGGCCATGGAAAAGTTCATGCGAGACCAACAGGGACGGCCGCCACATTCTGAGCCGACCAGTCGCCCCAACCACAACCACAAGTTGTTCGGGGTAGGTATGCCAGACACGGACATGGAATCGGCTGACTCGCATGGTAGTCACGGTAACACTTTTGACCCTGACGACCTCGACATTGACGGCTTCCGTCGACCTCACTTGGCTACTACGAAAGTCATTATGGAAGAAGGATTTGCTGCGCAGCGGATTCGCATGTCTGCGATCGCCGATCTAAAGGAGTTCTCAGGCCGCGATTACGATGATTAACGCGCTCGAAGCTGGTTGCGAAAGGTCAAACCAGCTTTCTTGCGTGACGAAGCCCCCGATTCGGAGAAATGTTTGTTTTCTAGAGATTTGCAAACAGGCCTAGCACGAAACTGGTACTCCCAGCTAAGCCGATCGACACGCAATAAGAGGAAAGACTTGCTGGAGATTTTTCTACTACAATACTGTGGACGCGGCATCTCTGCTGGTCGCCAGTATTACCACGCCTGCAAGCGTGCCGATAAACTCCGCTAGAATACCCTTACCGGTTGAACGTTGCTGGGAGGCGAGTGAAAATCCACGTGAAGGACGGGAACTTCGCTGACCGCCGAGAACACGTGGAATAATGTATCGAGACACTGTATGACCACGATCTCGCAAAGCATTTGACCTTTATGCGTTTGGACGACGTGGATACGCTGGAGTTAGCGCTGCACACATGTGAACGTATGCAAAAGCGCAAAGGCAATCTCCCGATCAGTTCAGGCGAGTTCCGCTCACGATCAGCGTCGCCAGACTCGCTGAGTCCATCCAAACCGGCTCGAGCTGTGCATGCAATCCACGTGGGGGCGAGAGCAGTTCGTCGGAATCAGATACAAGCAGTGCGGAATCAGACGAAGAACAACGACGTGTTTACAGCGTTTACAGCAGCCGACCATACGAAGAACCGGAGAAGTGATCGTCTAACCAAGCCAAGATCGAATGACCGTGAACGTGATCACGAGCGTTCAGAAGGGCACAAGTCGTGCACTGGTTGGGGGTCCAAAAGACATGATGACAGGGGATGCTAAAAACGCCTGACTTGTCAGAAATGCGGGCGCCGAGGTCACTCCTCCGACAAGTGTTTTTACAGATGCGCAGCGTGTGGAGAAGTGCACGACGGGGGCGACTGCCCGATGAAAAAGTTTATCAACATGCTTCGCAAGTAATACGTGCCGACCAAACACGCCGGAACGCTTCCTCCCGACGCTGAGAAGGTGTTAAACCAGAACGCTCGCCAGGTTGGAACCTGGTACGAGCCGAGCGTTCTAGGCTATGCATATATGCATTCATTGAGAAAGGAGGGGTTGATAACATGGTTAATCGCCTGACCGGCCGGACTTTCAGTACACGTGATTTGGATTCTTTTTATTTTCCTTCAATTGCAAGTTTGCGGCGACCGGATGGAATGCGCACGATCACCTACAAAGATGGAAATCAAGTTGTCGCCTGGCGAATCACGTGGTTACTAGAATTACCGTACTCCAAACAAGTGGTACGGGCGAGCCAAGGCGGGAGGAAAAATCAACACTGAGAAGGCCACCTTATTGTGTGACTCGAAAGCTGAAGTCTCAATCATCGACGCCACATTTGCTCGTAAGGTTGGCTGTGTCATAGATGAGAGTCAGAAGCAAGAATGCGTGGGTATCGGAGAAAATTCATACATGGCAGAAGGCCGCACAAAGGTGAAGATCACGCTAAATGGCTCATTGGCTTACAAATTTGATGTATGGGTGGGTGACGAAGTGGGAAAAAAAGCATTTCCAGGGAGGAATTTCATGGTACCGGCTGGAATACGCCTTGACCTGGTAGACGGAACAGTGTGCTTGCCGGACGAAGTCAGAATTAATCTGGAAGGTAGGAGATCACCGTATGGGATTAAGATACAATTAATTGATGCGGATGAGAAGTATTTGGCGATACCGGTGGGTGACTCGGTGGAGGTCAGTGTTGGTCGGGGGCCACTGCAGTCGATATTGTGGTTAACGCGCCACGCACGTTGGGCACCCACGGCTATGACCGGACCCGGAAGACTTAAGTACCTCCGCCTAACCCATCTAACCGATCAAGAGGTGATTATCCTACAGGGGAAGCCGTTCGAGCAATGGATGCCGGCGGACATGATACCACGGTCACCCGGGTATGTGTCGGTAGGGTAACGTCGAAATCAGGAGTGGCAAACACTTGCATACGAAGCTTCTACAGATAGAGATGAAGCAGAAGAAGTATTGGAAGCAGAAGGACCGTTGGTCGAACGTCAGCATTACTCAACGCCAACGAAGATTCTAAAATGACCCCACAGGATATGATAGAGATGAGCGCGGGGAGAGAGGAAGCGGAATGGGAAAAAAACGTGCCGACATGTGACCAGGTGGATGACCAGGAGAATCAAGAAGGACCAATCCCATAACGATCATCAGTAGTTACTAACGCGATCACTGCACGTGATATGGGTTGTGATTCGGTACAGGGTCGGCAGGAACAAACGAATGAACCCCAGAGAAAATGTCTACGCGATCACCGACGTCCGCCGACTTGGTTAAGCCTATTGAGGCGATGAAATATACGATGTTGGTGCACGAGCAGTCCGAAACGCACCCACACGAGTGTGAAGAGAAGCTCACTCCCGAATCGATCAAGTACATGGTACCTGATCGTATGCAAAACAAATTTCCTAAATTCCCCAGATAAATTACTGTTGGGGATGGGGAGGTGTATCGACCGCCCGACCATCTAGGAGACCAAGTAGCAGCGGTCACCGGCGAAAGAGAACAGGAGTGCACGTCATACCAAAACGCAGGTGGAACATTTTCCAAGGAAGAGGTTGACCAACAAAAGGCAGTCTTATCGGAGGTAAACACGACGCTGTGCGAGGTGAAGATTGAGGATATACAGGGTGGTGAACCAGGGGTTTCGTTGACGAAAGAGTAAGAAGAATCACGCCAGCTGATCTGGAAGAAAAGAAATCTGCTGATGGGCAAGGAAACGCCATCCCACCTGCGGCTCGAGGCGTGATATGTGACATAGATGTGGGAGGGCGACTCCAATAGCACAACGAGTGAGGCCTGTCGCCCCAAAGTTCCATTAAAAGTTGGCGGACCTGATCAAAGAGTTACTATCGGCGAAAGAATATGTGTCATTTAACCTCGCCGTGGGCATCGCCAATCATAGTGATCGTAAAAAATAATGGGGTAGATGTACGACTATGTATAGATTACCGACGAGTCAACCAATTGACGAGGCTGATGGTATATCCCTTGCCCTTGATCAACGACCTACTACAGGACCTGGACAAAGCGCTATGGTACTGCTCAATAATATGGCCAGCAGAATCTGGCTTGTGGAAATGACGGAGAGAGCACAAATGATTTCTGCTTTTATTACGCCTTCAGGTCTGTGTGAATGGCTACGTATGCCGTTCAGGTTGAAAAACGCGCCGCAGATATACCAGCGTATGGTGGATGATGCATTGTACGGGTATCTCACGACCGGAAAAACCCGAAAGAGATCAAGTGGTCGCGAGATGTCACAAGCGGTCAACGTGCACACGCACGGCGAGCCGGACCCGCACCGAAAGCCTTCAGTGCTGGGGCGGAGGTCCTTTATTCATGACTTTCTGGTCCCGGCGTCGTCCTGGACGTCCCTCTATCAAAAGGTAAACAGACTGTTGAAAGTCTGTGATCAGTTGAATTTGTTGATCAGTTTACCGAAGAGTGTGTGGGGACGACGCAAGGTTGAGTATCTCGGGCACCAGGTGTTGATATCAGGAATAATAGCCGACCTGAAGGATTTGTGGTCGTTGGTCTATATTCCATTTCTCCAACATTACGGTCAATGCAGTCCTTTTTAGTAAGCCTAAATTGCTACAGCCGGTTCGTTAAAGATTTCGCCATAAACGCCTCAGTCCTGTATGAATTGAGAGAGGCGGACTATCACGAGATTAGGCGGTTCGACGAATGGGAGGATGATCATGTAACAAACCACGACCAGGATGGTGATACCCAGATCGACGATGACCACGGCCAAAGGCTGGTGGGTAGCTGTGATAAACAAATGACAAAGATAGATGGTCACGACCACCCGAATGCAGGTGGGTCTGATGGCGAACATTTAAGTGGTCATCGTTGGGAAAAAGCTATGATCGCGTTACAATGCTGAAAGCAAAAGTTCAGACCCCGGTGCTAAGACATTTTGACCCTGACCGTTGGCCAGTAATATAATTTTATGCCAGCAAATGGGCGGTATCCGCAGCTTTGTTGCAGAACACAACGGAGTTAAGTGGCCTGTTATGTTCACAAGTCGCACGTTAAAACCGAATGAAATCAACTACGGTGTGATGGAGAAAGAAGTCTTGGCCTTGCTCCGGATATTAGATGTTTGTTATACACTACTAGTATCTCGGGACCTTGAGGTGCTCACACGGCATTTAACTCTGGCGTAGTTGATGCAATCATCGAGCCTTAACGGGAGACTTGAAAGATGGGCAGATTTACTGTTAACTGGGACTCTGAAAAATTAATTGATGCAACAAAGAAGAGGACAAATTTCTCGGCACTCTTTCCGTATGTATCACACCACGGGAGGATGTGGATGAAATGCTGATCGCGATCGCGTTTCGGAAGCAACCGAGACAGAACATCAGTATGCCGCCCCCTACGCTCAGCCGCAAAGAGTCGCTTCTTTCCGTCAGCTTTGATGGAGCAGTCCGTAATAAGATTGAAAGGGCGCCTACAGTGAAATAATATGGAAGCTTCCCAAGTGGACTATAGCAAAGGCTGCGTCACGATTCGACACTGAGTTAACTGTGAACAAGGCAGAGTACCATGGGTTCCTGCTAATTTTTGAGATTTTGGTCAAGCAGACAAGGGGACGAGTGGTCATTTCTGGGGATTACAACCTTTTCATCAGGCAGTTGAGGGTTAAAATTGACTGCAAGGCACAGGGACTGCAGTTACTACGTCTCAAGGACCTGGATCAACTGCGATCATGGCCGACTCATGAAATCTTACATGTAATGCGCTATTGGAATCAGAGTGCCGATAGACTGGCTATCTCCGCTTTAGAGCTGGAAAAAGGCATGGTCAGACTAACGGAGCAGATTTGCCACGATTTACAAGCGATGAACTGACTGGACGAGATGTTAGTACCAGCGGCCAACAATCAAGTGGCCAAGATGACGGCGATCATACGACCAACCATACGGAGACGTGAAGAGTCCACGATTATGCAAAAGTAAATAATGC